AGGGGAGCAGCCAGTTGGTTCCCTACTGGGGACTCCTTTCCTAGTTTGCACACAGCCACCTGCTGCCTCTGTCCTCATAGGACTATGAGACAGAGGAAGCTCTGGTGTCTTTTCCTCTTCTTGTAAGGACACTAATACCATCATGGAGGTCCTTAGGACTTCATCTAACCCTAATTATATCCTAAAGGCTTCACCTCCAAATACCATCACAGGGGCAGTTAGGGCTTCAATATATGCACTTCAGGGGGTCACAATCCCACTCACAGCAGGATGTGAGGCCAGGGACAAGCAGCCTGCACATCCTGGGGCAGACTGAGATGGCTGCCAGGGTGAGGGAGAGAAGGTTCACCCCAACCCTGCATGCTGAAACCATGCCGGCTTCCAAGGCCACCAGGTCACACACAGCATTTCATTCTATCCTCAGAGTGTCCAGACACTAAGTTAAACATTTTCTTCTTGAGCTACAATGCAAGATCTTTGATGAGCAGTCTCTCGCCCCAGTCTTAATTCATCCAGGTTCCCCTGTAACTCCGTGATGATTAATTAGCACCCATGTTCAACATTTTGCCTTATATATCAAAGTAAAGTCTTACGACAGTCATTTGATGCATTTTAAATTTTATGGTGCTAGTATGTGTCGGTGGGGAGGGAGGAATACAAAAAGTGTTCTCATTAACAGTTTGTTCTTTTTACTTCTTGCCCACATCCCTTGAAAACAAGAGCAGGTGTATGTTTTGCTCATGCAACTCCTAAGAAAGTGCTTTGAAAATTCAGTATCTCCTGATCTTGGATGGCAGAGGTATCTCAAAGAGAAAGATTTGGAGATCATACTAAGGTAAAAAATAACTTTATTTTAGCAAAGCAGACACAATTGCTCTCAGCTACAAAGGGACAATGCCCAGACTCCGCCTCTACCGCAGGAACAACAGTGTGGCCTTCCAGCCCCAAAACAAGACAGCCAAGTGAGAGCTAGCTGAGACAGTGGGGCTCTGCCCTGCTTTCCCCAAGGAGTGAAGACATTTATTTGAAGTCTGTGTTGAAAGATCATATATACGTATGAACCAACTAGGTTTTCTTTGTCAGACACTGCAGAAAATACAGGACGCCTCCCCATATGTTACCACAGTTCTCCCCAGAAAGGTAGGTGTTCAGGCTGGAGAAGTCAAAAGGCAGCGGCAGGCACACCATGCAATTCAAAGAGTGCACCAGCTCCAGGTCTCAGTCAACTGAGTAAAAAAGTGGCTCCATTAAGCTTCTTCAAACAGGAGAACTTCATGCTGTCATATCCCTTTCTCATGTACATGCAGGTTCTGAAAGATTCCTCGCATCTGCCAAGATCCTCACCTGATTTCAAAAGGAAATTGCTTCTAGAGACTAAAATCAAATTCATCATTTTTGCAGCTATTAAAAGAAAGAGAAAGTCAACTTCAGTTCTAAATAGGGCCTGAAGCAAGGCTGGTGGAAGCATTCAACCATCTTTAGTCTATTGGTTAATTCATCTGTCCATTCATTTGCTTAAATCGCTTACTTTTAGCTGCTGGGTTTCCCTGAGTGACCACAGGAAATCCAAGACTCCTTTTCATCCCTCAACCCCTGGCCTACCCATGCATCACCCTTTCTGAGCCAGTTCACACCCCTCCCTGACTCTTAAGTCCTTCACAGTCTTTCTTCTGTCCTCCTTCCGGGTGTACTTCAGCTGACTCCATGTGTACCCTCTGGACTCATTTCCTGGCATCCTTCTCAGGTGTTGCTGTTTTCTTTTAAGGCTTCAATCCATTGGGCCTGGATGTGGGGTAAATACCTTCTTGCTCATTGAAATCTCCAGATCATTCTCCACCTCTCTTCCCTTAACCTCCCATTAGACCCTACCACCACGTGCCTGGCACAAAGCAGACATTCAATACTTTTTAAATCAAATCAATGATTGTCATCCGTTACTGCCCACTTTCCGCCCCACATGTGCAGTAATCTCTAGACCGCTGGTCTTCCTCTTCATTCCTTGATCATGGTCACTAGGATCTCTGCAATCACTGCTGCCACAGTTTTTGATGATTTTAATATACACAAGAGAGCTCCTTGCAGGGCCTAGCCTTCCCCTTCATTTATTGCATCATCTCCAGATGAGTCTGTCCTCTGCTCCACCTCACCCTCCCACCCCTCCCATGGCCACTCCAAGACTTTAGCATCACTAAATGACCACAGCACCTCCATTCACTCAATCTCAAACATTCCACCCTCTCATCTCTTTTAAGTGTCCAGCTCCCTTCCTTCAGTACCTCTAATCTGACAATACTGTGACTCCTGTTACAATGTTTTATTCATGGATCTGAACACATCACAACAGGTCTTTATTTCCTCCTGCCTCTACTTAAATTGCATGGTACACCATCATGATCATGCCCTTGCAAACACCCCAGCTACCTGGCTTGCTGCCTCTATCAAATCACCCTTGCAAAATAACTAACTTTCCATAGGCCATGCCTCCCCATAACCTTAATTGGAGAAAAATACACAACCATACTGTCTCAATTCATGTTATATTAGTGACCAAGTGAGCAATAACCAAGCAATACTACTTTATTTCCCTAGCACAGATCAGCTCCCACTGTACCTGGGAGATTCTCACACCTTTTCTTTTCTCTTGAAACCCACAGCAACCCCTTCATTGATGACAGTGCTTCCCAGTGCAAGCAGAAGCAAGGCCAAGAGAACTTTCACCTGCTTTCCTCACAACAGTTAACCAACCAAGTGTAATCTGACTCTAAAGTCTGGCTTCATTCATTTTACTCAACAAATATTTACTGAAGAATATACTAAGTGCTATAAATTCTGCAGTGAAGTGAGCAGGGTGTGGGAAGACAAAAATCCCTACTTTCATTTAGATTATGTATTAGTTCACTATTGCTGCTGTAACAAATCACCACATATTCAGTGGCTTAAATCAACACGAATGTATTATCTTACAGTCCTGGAGGTCAACAGTCCCAAATGTATCTTAAAGGGTTATAATCAAGGTGTCAGCATGGCAAGTTCCTTAAGGAGTTTCCAGGGAAAATTGGTCCCTTACCTCCCCAGTCTAGAGGCCATGATATTCCTTGGTTCCTGGTCACATCACTCAACTCTCATCTTCCATTATCACTTTGCTTTCTATCCTTCATCTATTTTTGTTATTGTTCATCCTTTTGGTGCCATATCTAAGAAATTAAGATCATGAAGATTTAGTTGTATGTTTTCGTCTGAGTTTTGTAGTTTTAGTTCTTATATTTAAGTGTTTTATTCATTTTTGGTGAGTTTCTGTATATAATTTGAGGAAAAGGTTCAACTTCATTTTTTTGCATGTGGATACACAGTTTTCCCAGCACCATTTGTTGAAAAGATTGTCCTTTTCCCCATTGAATGGCTTTTGTGCCCTTGTCAAAAATCAATTGTCTGTGTATGTGAGAGTTTACTTCTGGAATCTTTATTCAAATCTATTGGTCTGTAAGTCTGTCTTTATACAAGTACCTCACTGTTTTGATTACTGTAGCTTTGTGATAAGTTTTGAAATCAGGAAATGTGAGTTGTCCACATTTATTCTTCTTTTCAAGATTGTTTTGGCTGTGCAAGGTCCCTTAAGATTTCATATGAACTTTAGAATGGGTTTTCTATTTCCACAAGAAAAAAAATTGTTGGATTCAATCTGTAGATTGCTTTGATTAACAAAGCAAATCGAATAGTATTATCACCTTAACAATATTAAATCTTACACTATGAACACATTCCATTGATTTATGCCTTCTTTAATTTATTTCAGCAATGTTCTGTAGTTTTCAGTACATGTGTTTAATCTCCCTGTTTAAATTCCTAAGTATCTATTCTTTCAGATGCTACTATAAAAAGAAAGTTTTAAAAAATTTCCTTGTCATATTGCTTATTTCTAGTGTATAGAAACACAACTGATTTTTTTATTGATTTTGTGTCCTGCAACTTTGCTTAATTCATTTATTAGCTCTAATAGTTTTGTTATTAAATCCTTAGGGCTTTCTACACATAAGACCAGGTCATCTGTGAATGGAGAACTTCTCTCTTTTCAATTTGTATGATTTTCATTTATTTGACTTCTCTAATTGCTCTGGCTAGAATTTCCACTACTGTATTGAATAGAAATAGCAATAGTAGGAATCCTGCTCTTGTTCCCATTGTTAAGGGAAAGCTTTTGAGTCTTTCAATACCGCATGTGATGTTAGCTGTGGGCTTTTCATATATCACCTTTATCATGTTATAGAAGATATCTTTTATTCTTCATTTACTGAGTGTTTTTATCATTAGAAGAATGTTGAACTTTATCAAATGATTCCTCTGCATCAACTGAAATGTTTATATATTTTGGGGTCTTTTTTCTCCCTTCATTCTATTCATGTGGTTTCTTATATTGAGTGATTTTCATATGTTGAACCATTCTTGCATTACTGGGAAAATACCATTTGTCATGGAGTATGATCCCTTTAATATGCTGCTGTATTCAGTTTCATAGGATTTTATTGAGAGGTTTTGCATCTATATTTATATGAGACAATCTTGTAATTTCTTTGTCTGGCTTTGTATCTGTGTGATGCCAGCCTCATACAATAAATTATGAAGTATTCTCATCTCTTCAATTTTATGAAAGAGTCTGGCAATGATTGGTGTAAATTTTCATTAAAGGACTGATAGAACTCATCAGTGAAGCTGTCTGATACTGAGCTTTTCTTTTTTGTAAAATTTTTGATTACTGACTCAATCTCTTTACTCACTATTGGTCTGTTTAGATTTTCTATTTCTTCATGATTCAGTGTTGGTAGGTTGTATGTTGTAGGAATATATCAATTTCTTGTAGGTAATCCAATTTGTTGGCATATAATTGTTCATTAGTAGTCTTTTTTGATCCTTCGTATTTATGTGGTATCAGTTGTAATGTCTATGATTTCATTTTTTATTTTGTTTATTGTAGTCTTTTATTTTTAGTACAGCTAAAGGTTTGTCAAATTTGTTAATCTTTTTAAAGAACCAAGTTTTAGGTTCATTGATACTCTCTCTTGTTTTTCTATTCTCTATGTCATTTATGTTTCCCCTAATCATTATTTCCTGCCTCCTCCTTGCTTTGGCTTTAGACTGCTTTTCATTTTCTGGTTATGTAAGACATACAATTAGATTTTCTATTAATATCATTCTTTTTAAAAGTGTTTAGAGCTTAAATGTTCCTTCTGACCACTGCTTTTATTGCATCCATAAATTTTGGATATTATATTTTATTTTTATTCATTGTAGAGTATTTTCTACACTTCACGGCACTGGGACCTGGGCTAGAGGGCAGGGCATCAGCTGTGGAGCAACATGAGCAGGACCCCACCTCAGACGACACCATGAACTCGTTCCTGGAAAAGTTCCAGAGCCAGCCTTACCGTGGCGGCTTTCATGAGGAACAGTGGGAGGAGGAATTTGAAAAAGTCCCCCTGTTTATGAAGAAAGTGCCATCAGAAATTGATCCCAGGGAGAATCCTGACTTGGCTTGTCTCCAGTCAATTATTTTTGATGAGGAGCTTTCTCCAGAAGAACAGGCCAAGACCTATAAAGATGAGGGCAATGATTATTTTAAAGAAAAAGACTACAAGAAAGCTGTGATTTCCTACACTGAAGGATTAAAGAAGAAATGTGCAAATCCTGATTTGAATGCTGTCCTTTATACCAACCGGGCAGCAGCACAGTACTATCTGGGCAATTTTCGTTCTGCTATCAGTAATGTGACAGCTGCCAGAAAGCTAAAATCCTGCTACCTCAAAGCAATAAGAGGTGCTTATGCCATCTGGAACTGAAATACTTTGCCAAGGCTGTGAACTGATGTGATAAGGGACTGCAGATAGATGCCAAAGTGAAGAAGCTTCTGGAAATGAGGGCTAAAGCAGACAAGCTGAAGCAAATTGAACAGAGGGATGTGGGGAAATCCAACTTGAAAGAAAAGGAGAGGAATCAGAATGAGGCTTTACTCGAGGCCGTCAAGGCTAGGAATATCAGGTTGTCTGAAACTACCTGTGAGGATGAAATTTCAGCCTCAGAAGGTCTAGGGGACCTTTTTTCCTGGAGGAACTAGGGGAGTTTTTCCTGGAGGAACTCAGCTCTGAGAACCCCCATGGAGCCAGGTTGAATCTAGATAACCAGGGCAGGCTGAGCTGGCCTGTGCTCCTTCTGTACCCAGAGTATGCCCAATTGGACTTCATCTCTGCCTTTCATGAGGACTCCAGGTTTATTGATCATCTAATGGTGATGTTTGGTGAAACACCTTCTCGGGACCTAGAGCAAAAATATTGTTCTGATAATTTGGAGGTCTACGTTGAGGATGAGGACAGGGCAGAACTGTACTGGGTGCCTGCCAAGGGCACCTTGCTGCAGGTTCTACAGCACCACAGGTACTTTGTAAAAGCCCTGACACCAGCATTTTTGGTCTGTGTAGGATCCAAACCTTTTTGAAAGAATTATCCTGGGGAAGAAAGGTGCACCAGATAAGATGACTGAGCCAGGCCCCCTGGATCTCCTCCCTTACCCTCCTCTGCTGGGAACCTAGCACGCCTGAATCAGTCCAGTGCCTTATTTCTGTCACCAAGGGGATAGTCCTTCCTAGTATCGTGGTGGGGGAGGAGCCTCTGGTTTCCCTAAACTGCAGCCTCTCTGGCTGGTCTTCACTTTCTTCAGTTGATATAAAATTCTGTGCCTTGGCCATGACATCCTTGGATTCCATCTCTAAAGGGACCATCTGCTGCAGTTACCATGGCAACTGACCTGAGCAGCACCCTGGTCTGTGGAGATGGACTCAGGATCCAGTGACATGATTCTGAACTTTTGTGGAGTTTGACATCTTGTTACAGAAGCTACCCTTCAAACTGCACATCTACACACAAACAAACTATGCATAGGATTCCAAGGCTTTAAAGCTGAGAGACTCTGGCCTCAAGTTATTTCATGAACACAGAGGGGAGCCATGTGTGGTCACTGTAGATGACTTGAGGTGAAATGGAGGCAGGAAAGCCACATCCTGCTCTCCATTTATAAAGACCGTACAAACTGAGATCCTTGGTACCCCTAAAAGGATTGCCAGTTTCCTTCATCTTTGCCATGTGGAGGACTGTGACAGACTAGGACAGTGGCCTCTGAGTTCCCCTGTAGTTTTCACATTTTGAGATTTTGTGTCTTTTAAACTGGAAAACCTTCTAGCATGTTGGGTTGTTGTTATAGGGTATATCTTTGTCTGCAGCAGCTTGTTGCCCCCTTCCTAAGAAGAGTTTATCTACCATGAAAAAAAATGAGTATTTTCTAAGTTCTTCTTTGACTTATAGCTTATTTATGAGTATGTTGTTTAATTTCCACATATTTCTGAGTTTTCCAGGTATCCTTCTGTTACTGGTTTCTGGTTTCATTCCTTCGTAGTAAGAGAAAATACTTCATATGATTTTCGCGTTTTAATATTTACTGTGACTTGTTTTGTGGCCTAACATAAGATCTAGCTTGGAGAATGTTACATGTGCACTTGAGAAGAATGCATATTCTGGTGTTTGTGGTAGTGGAGTATTATTTACATGTCTACTAATTCCATTTGTTTATAGTGTTGTTTAAGTCCTCTCTTTCCTTACTGACACTTTGTCTTTGTTCTATTCATTATTGAAAGTGGGATATTAAAGTCTCCAAATATTATTGTAGAATTTTTTCTCCGTTTATTTCTGTCAATTTTTGCTTCATGTGTCTTGGGGGTTCTGTTTTAGGTTCATGTATATTTATCATTGTCATATATGCTTGATGGATTAACCTTTTCTGAATACACAATTTTCTTGTCTTCTATGATAAATTTTAAAGTCTAGGCAGCACATTCAGCAGTCCTGTGGCTGTCTCTTGCTTCAACAGTGTTTGGATGGAACAGATCCAGGAACTCTCTTTCTTCCAGTCTCCAGCCACCTTCCAATCTTCTCTCCATTTTCAACCTTCAGGACCATATTCTCAGTCATCTCCTGCTTCTGGGACCAGCCAACACCATTTTAGTGGTTAGTTCCTTCTTGCTGACTAACCATGAGCTCCCAGATTTATCAGAATTATTCCATTGAGGTGGAGGCAGCCATCAACCACTTTGTCAATTTGTACTTGCAGGTCTTCTAAACCTATTTCTCTCTGGGCTTCTATTTTGACCATGATGATGTGGCTCTGGAAAGCCTGGGCTACTACTTCTGCAAATCAGCTGAGGAGAAGCATGAGAGTACCAAGCATCTCTTAAAGATACAAAACCAGTGTGGCAGCATGCTATCTTCCAGGACCTCCAGAAGCCGGCTCAAGATAAGTGGGGTAAAACTTTGGATGCCATGGAAGCCACCATGGCCCTGGAGAAAAATCTGAACTAGGCCCTTCATGCCCTCAGTTCTGCCTGCACAGATCCCCTTCTCTGTGACTTCCTGGAGAGTCATGTCCTAGATGAGGAAGTTAAACTCATCAAGAAGATGGATGACCACCTGACCAACCTCCCCACAGGCTGGCTGGCCTGGAGGCTGGGCTGGGTGAGTATCTCTTTGAAAGGCTCACCTTCAAGTACAACTAGGAGCCTACTGAGCCCAGTGACTTCTGGGAGGCCCCTTGTGCAAAGTAACAGGGCTTCTGTCTAAGCCTCTCCCTCCAGCCACTGGACAGCTTTTTAACTACCCTGGAGCACTCACCCAAGCCTTGGATCAAATTGAAATAAAGCTTTTGGAAGGAAAAAAATAAAATTTAAAGTGTATTTTGTCTAATAATAGTGGAGATGTCCCAGATCTCTTTTGATTAATAGTTGCATGAAATATCTTATCTGTCCTTTTATTTTCAGCATTTTTGTGTCTTTATAGCTAAAGTAAGTCTCCTTTAGATAGCACATAGTTGGATCATGTTTTTTAATACATACTGAAAATCTCTGCTGTTTAATTGAACAGTTTGATTCATTTATATTTAAAGTGATTACTGTCAAGGAAAGGCCTCCTTCTCTCATTTTGCTATTTATGTTCCGTAGATTTTGTATATTTTTTTCTCAATTCCTTCATTATGGATTTTATTGTGCAATTGATTTTTTCTAGTCCATTTTTGTTCAATTCTTATTTTCTCTTCTGCATAGTTTTTAATTATTTTCTTCACTTTTTTTAGTTATTTTCTTTATTTTCTACTGCACAATCTGAGATTGTAATTAACATCTTATGTTAATTACAAACAATGTAGCTTGAATGAATACCCTCTTAGCCTGAATTGTGTACAAAATCTCTGCTACTATACAGCCTCATCCATCTCTTCATGCTATTGTTATCACAGATTTTGTCTTTACACACTGAGTGCCCATTAACACAAATTTATATTATTTTGGGCATTTGAATTTTAAACCATATAGGGGAAAAAAGAAAAAGGAAAGAAGTTACAAACCAGAAATACAATAATATTAGCTTGTATATTTATCTCTGTAGTTGCCTTTACTGGTTTTCTTTAATTCTTCACACAGCTTTGAGTAACTGTCTAGTGTCCTTTTATTTCAGACTCAAGGAATACCTTTAGCATTTCTTGTAGGACAGGCCTACTAGTGATGAACTTCTTTGAAGTTTATTTATCTGGGAATGTCTTAATTTCTTCTTCATTGATTAGTTTTGCCAGACAGAATTCTTGGTTAACAGTTTTGTTTTGTTTTTTTTCTATCAGCGCTTTAAATATATTATCCCAATTCCTTCTGCCCTCCATGCTTGCTGATGAGATGTTGACTCTTTTTCTTATTTAAGATTCCTTGTACAAAAACATGACAAGTTGCTTCTTACCTCATGCTTTCAAGATTGTTTTTTGGCTTTTCCTTTTGAAAGTCTAATTATAATGTGTAATGGAGTCTTTGTGCCCCTTCGGCTAAAAGTCCATTGAGATTCCCTGATATACTGATTTATGTTATTTCTCACATTTGAAAAATTTGGGCCATTATTTCTGCTCCTTTCTCTCCTTCTTATTCTGGTATTTCCATTATGCATACAATGGTACACTTGATAGTATCCCACAGTTCTGTTAAGGTATGTCCATTTTTCTTCATTTCTTTCCACTTCTGCTTCTCAAATTGAATAATCTACATTGAGCTATCTTAAGTTCAGTTTGAAATTTTAAGGATGCTTTCTTCTTTCTGTTCAAATTTTATGCTGAATCTCTCTAGTGAAGCTTTCATTTCAGATTGCATTTTTTAGCTCCAGAATTTCTGTTTGATCTATTCTTATATTTTCTATCCTTGTTGGTAACCTCTATTTGCCTAGGCATCATAGTTATGGTTTCCTTTGTCCATGGTTTTTATCTCTCTGAGCATATTTAAGATGACTGATTTAAAGTCTTTTTATAGTAAATCCAATGTCTGGGTTTTCTTGGGGACAGTTTTGGTTCATTTATTTTTTCCTGTGAGTGAGCCATATATTCTTGTTTCTTTGCATGTGTTGTAAATTTCTGATAATTGGACATGTTGAATATCATAATGTGTAACTCTAGAAATCATAATCTTCTCCCCAGGATTTGCTGTTACTACTTGTAGGCTGTAGTTGTTTAGTGACTCTTCTAAATTCTTTTTATAAGACTGTTTTCTCTGTTATGTGTAGTCACCAAAGTTCCAGTTCTGTTAACTTACTGGTCAGCTGGTGATTTAACAGAGATTTTCTTAAATGCCTAAACCCAACGTAACAAAAAATACTTAAAGTCTTTGTGGATTGGCTATGTGTTTGAGCATTCTTTTAATGCTTAGCTAGCCCATTTACATTTGCTTAATGTCCACTTTCAGCTTCAGAGGAGCCTAAAGACAGGAGCCAGAGATGAAAGTTCATGGTGTTCTCCAGTCTTTTCTGAGCATGTCTAGTCCTGGGCATTTGCGTGGACTTCCAGATTATCCGATTATGTGGAATCTATTAAAATATTTATTCTCATATTTATATTCTTTCCCTGACTTTTCCTAACCTTTCTAGTCTGTCTGCTGCTTTTCCTATCTGTTATAACTTTCTCCAGGCAGCAGCAGTGATTATATTTGCCTTAAATCCTTTCTTAAAATTCCACCCAGGTGGCTGCTTCAGGCCTGAGAAAGTTCAGAGGCATGTGAAACAAAGGGAATTCCCTGACCAATCACTCGGGGAGCCACCAGACAGACATACAATCATAATTGTTTGAGACTAAGTCCTGCAGTGCCTCCTCAGGGGCCACCAAGTTATGTCAGTAACATGGGCAGCCAGCCCCATAGCTACCACCAAGCTGGAAAGTGGTAAATTGTATGGGTAAGTTAAAGCACCACAATACTCTTTTACTGAAATTTAGGAACTTGTGAAACACTTCCTTCATTGTCATATATTTTTTATTAGATTCCTTAGTTTTAAAAAGTTAATCCTAATAGTTTATGCCAACTTCATTGGTGCTTTAGTGAAGAAACAGTTTTGGAGTTCCCTGCTCTGCCATTTTCTGCTTCTGCTTGACATTTTAAAAGAACCACAGGCTACTGTGTTAAGAGTTAAGAAGAAGCAATAGAGAGGACTGAAGCTGGGAAGCTAATGGCAATAATGAGATGAGACATGAGGGTGCCTTATATGGGGAACAGTGGTGGTGATAAGGAGTGATTAGATTCTAAGCATATTTAGGTGATACAGCCAAAGGATTTGCAGATGGATTGGAATGTAGACAATGAAAAATGTGGAGCAGAGAGGCCTAATAAAGGGGAAGGATGAATTTGTCATTACTGAGCTGAATTCCTGAAGTTGTTTTCTGACTGGTCTCCCGGATTCCATGTTCAGTCTTCTATAATCCATTGTCAACAGAGTAGCTGGAGTGAACCTTCCAAAACTGAAATGAGATGATGTTACTCCTCTGCCCAGTGTCCCATCCCAAATATTTACAATGGCCTACAGAGTCCTAAATAACCTGAGTCCCTGCAACTTTTCTGTCCACATCTCTTAATTCACTCTGTTCCAGCTGTGTTCCACTCTGGCCTTACCGTTCCTACAAATCACCATACAGGATCCTAACTCAGGGCCTTTGCACTTGTGTTCCTTGATATGCATGGCTCCCCTTCATTTCTTTACGTCTCTATGTAAACGTCACTTTATTGAAGATGCCTTCTTGTTCACCTTCTGGGAAAAATAAAAACAAAACAGCAAATTGAGCCACTCCAAATGTCCTGACATTTCCTATTATCTTCTGCTGCTGTATTTTCCCCACAATACGTCTATAGTTGTTTCTTTATTTGATGATTTGCCCTCTGCTCACTCTTGCCCCATAGAATGTAAGCTCCATCAGCATGAGTCAACTGTTTCCCTCATATGTGTCACCGACACCTTGAAAAGAACCTGGTCAAAAACAAAGTTAATATTTGCTGAGTTCAGAAACTGAGATATGCAATTTTGTGTAAGACACAATCATCATATTGAGAGATTCCACAGTTTAGGAGGGAAGAGAAACAAGTAAACTAGTGACTATACGCAGTGGATGGCTCCTGTATTTCAAAAGAACACAGAGGAAGGATGTCAAAGGGACAGTCCCAGGACTCACTAAACCAGGTCAGGGATGCAGCAGCAGCGGGAAAAAGCAGTCCACCTCCCAGGCTCCATCAGAAGAATTCTGCCATAATTATTGTTTTCAGTATAAGGCTTTATTGGAAAAAAAGCTTCTGACCCTTAGAATAATATTTAGATGCTACTGGTCTGCCCAGACCCTGTTAGTACATAATGCATGTCGGTTTAAACTAATTAATACATTATGCCCCTTGCTCTTGGGCGAGTTCTGCCATAACTTGCTGAGAGGTCACAGGGCATGACTATCTAGCTCATCAGCTCTGAAATGAAGGTGTTAGAGGAGGTTGCCTTAGTAGTGGCCTTCAGCTCCAAATCTGTAGTCTGAGTCAAGAAACATTTGTCCCAAATGAAATTATATCCATCCTTATGACATAAAACAGTTAAAACCAAGAATTTATCAGCTACTTTATTTTTCCCAAGAGATTTTCAGATATCTCTTTGCTTTTGTTATCATTCCTTATAATAAGTTTAATGAGCAGATGTGATTTATGCTGTGTGTTTATAATAGCCCGAACTTTGATACTGCATTTTTCATCACCGGCTTCCTTGCATTTGAGATATTTTCACCAGGTTTAGAAAGCCTCTGTTCTGTTTTGTTCACAACAGGTGCTAGAGAAGTATAGCCAAGAAAGAAAAGAGTAATAAGACTTATCTCCATATTCTCCCATCAGTTTCTCAACTAGATCTGAAAAATGCTACAGGCAGCCACACGAAGAGCACCGGAATGCAAAGGGCTCGTTCTCTTTTAAAGACACACAATCTTGGGGTCATATTTTTCAAACTGTAGTTCATTCATACAAAAGCTTTTATGAGTCATTGTTATAGGGTGAAATGCAAAAACAAATAACATGGAGTTCCCTACCATTAAGAGGCTTACTGACAGACTTGAAAATAAGAATTGTCACCAATTTAAAATACCATGCTAGGAAATGGAGAATGTTTCCTAATAGCTACGAGCTTTTTTAGGGTGGAAGGGTTGACAAAAATATTCTAAAAATAGACCGTGGTACACACGATCACAACTCTGTGAATATACTAAAAACCATTCAACTGTCCAATTTAAATGGGTGAACAATATGATATATCAATTACATCTCAGTAAAGCCGTTTGAAATAAATGTGACATACCAGGAATCTACACAGAGCCTTGTGAAGATACAAAGGTCAGTCCTTTGCAGGGGAGAGGTAGGAAGAGGTAGGATAGGAACATCTCAATACAAAGGTCAGACTCACATATTCAAGTGTAACCCCTCCACATGTGTGTCAAAACACATCTGAAACTCAGCATGTCCAAAGCCAAACACCTAATCTGTCCTCCAGACCCACTCCATGTGCAGCTTTCCCATCTCAACAACTGTGATTTCATCATTCCAATTGCTTAGGACAATGTCATTGGAGTCATTCTTGACTTTGTTCTTTCTTCCACAGCCCACACCTATCCCATCAGCAAATCCTGGTGACTCTCTCCTTAATATAACTCCTATCTCCACTCCCACTGTGCACTTGGACTGCTATGACCCCTTTATCACTGGTCTTGCTACTTTCTTTTTCTTTTTTTTTTTTTTTGAGACGGAGTCTTGCTCTGTCGCCCAGGCTGGAGTGCAGTGGCCGGACCTCAGCTCACTGCAAGCTCCGCCTCCCGGGTTCATGCCATTCTCCTGCCTCAGCCTCCCAAGTAGCTGGGACTACAGGCGTCTGCCACATCGCCTGGCTAGTTTTTTGTATTTTTTAGTAGAGACAGGGTTTCACCGTGTTAGCCAGGATAGTCTCGATCTCCTGACCTCATGATCCGCCCGTCTCGGCCTCCCAAAGTGCTGGGATTACAGGCTTGAGCCACTGCGCCCGGGCTGGTCTTGCTACTTTCAACCTTGTCTTATGAAGTCTATTCTTGATACAGCAGCCCAAGCAATACCTTCAAACTGCCAGTCAGATGGTGGTACTCTTCAGAATGCTGAGAAGCTTCCATCTAGTCTAAGCAGAAGTCCGTCTGACCTGGCCCACCACAGGGCTGGTCTCATCTATATCTCCTGGAAGCCACCCACCCATGGTGTGTCTGCATTTCCCACCTTCCTTCTACTCCTTTCAGTTAGTGATATTTGTGACTCTGCAATCATATCACTGGTGGGACCTCATTAACTCACGAATTGGGTGACTTTGCAAGAAAAAGAAACTTCTCAAGAGATACATTACCATTTCTCAGAGAACAGGCTACAAGAAGAGTTTGAGGTGAGCTGAAGCAACCTATATCTGGAAATGAATCACTGCAGCCAGAAGAGGTCAAAAATGATAAAACAGAAGCCTGGGAGCTGCCTGCCTAGCCCAAGGTCACAAAGCTCTTTAGGGGCTGGGTCAAGTGTGCTTCGGGGATTAATTACCATTCTTTGCACTGTACTATTGCCTTTCGAGAACGTGCAACTCCCTTTTTCTAATCCTGGCAGCAACTTCCTGAGCTGCGCCTTGGTTAGTTAGGGTACAACGAGAATCAAAACATTATACACGGAGAATAAACAGATGGGTATGTCCTGTTTATTCTGCCCTGTTGCTTATCCTGCACAGCTCATGGTTCCCTGAGCATGCTCTACCCCCTCCTCTCCTCTCCCTCAGACTACTTCTGGCCCCCAGTTACCCCTCTCATTGCCACTGCCATTGGCATGTTCACCCTGAGTTCCACATACAAATCAAACATAGTTTATGAAGTCTTTGCTAGATATAAAATCAGAAACTTTTGGAATCTTCCTATGAGATTATTATTTTAAATGTTATTAATATATCAGTTAATTGGATACCTTATTTGAGAACTTCAACTTGAACGGAGAGTATTTGTTGTACAGTTTGTGCTTCCATTTTTTAGGTGCACAAATCCAGCCTTCCTTGGTCATCCAAGAGATATGATTGAAGGTTCATGCTGTCCAATCCCCTGCTCCAAAGGGTAGAGCTGAGTGCTTCTCTGTTCCTTCACATGCAGAGGATGATCCTAATTTCTGGGAGAAGAATGTACTAGATCATCATGGATCCATCAAGTTTCATGGGTAAAAGAAACACCCTCCTGTTAATGCTTACTATGTGGCGTTTCAATCCTGTTTGTATCCAGATTAATCAAGGTTCAGCCCTGGAAGTTGCTTAGAATGAGGGAGCTCCACGTTTGCAAAAGTTTTGCAGATGGATCTGAGATACGCTAATGTCCCAGTCCTCACAGGGATGCTTAATATCTGTGGAAGTGGGTAAGCCCCTGGGATCAGAGCTTTTCCTGGCAACACTGCAGATGCCAAGAGGCTGACACTTTGTCTTCTCCTCCTAGGTTTCTGGGGCTCCATTCTCCTGTTAGGAGGACAGGACAGTGACTTTAGACATGATGCAAAACCTCAGAACAATGACGGCATTCCAGGCTCCAGAGAGCCTTTCAGAGCCTGGCTAGCTGTCGCATTCTGTACTTTCCTGAGGATACGCCCTGTTCACCACAATCTGACTTCAGAAAATCTCATCTCCTCCCAAAGCATTTGCAAACTGCCTCCCAGGAGTGTCTCTGGGAACAGAAGCACTCACTATTCTGTGATCTTTCTCAGTAGTAGAAAGATTCTCAGGACCCTTTTATTCTAAGTAGCATAAATCCCACTCAAACTGGCTTAAGCAAAATATAAACAAAAGTTATCACTGCAAGCTCAGGTGTAGACTTCAGGAACAGCTGCATCCAGCAACTTAACACTATCAAGTGTGTGTGCAGTCTGTTTCTCTGTCTTTCTCCAAACCATAGTTTTGCCAACTTGCATTTTGGCTTTATTTCAGGCTCTAGTGGGACTCATCTGACAGAAAGAGCAGTCCTCTCCTATGTCTAAGATTGGTTTTAGTGAATGAACTTGGAGCCCTATGTCAGAAAGAGCAAGCATACTGATTGCTGAGACAAAGGAAAGGTAAATTCCCCAACTAAAATAGGGAGGTCTTATCAAATAAGGAAAAATAAACACTTACATTAACTTAATTTTCAGGATGACCCTTCTGGACCCTCTCTATTGTCTTGGTGTCTGCATCACTGATGTCCCTCACTCGTGCTGGGCTTCATTGCTGTGTTATCTGTTAGCTGTGAGCTCCGATCTCAACATGACCTTGGCTACACTCCTCAGGTTTCTCGAGCCTCTGCCTTCATAGCTTTACGTTATCCCAGGTTCCTGCCAATCTCACAAGCCTGGTTATTGATGGCTCAGAGTAGCCATAATAGCGCTCATTGCACTGATCCTGCAAGGATCTCAGCCACCATAAAGGGTCCAGGTTCCTGGGGGTGTTGCCCTGGTTGTCTGGGACACTGCCTCATCACTGTCATGTCTTAGATGCATCTGTCACCATCCCCCGAGCATCTCGATTGCCTCCAGCCATCAACTGGCTCTACCTCTTTGGCAGGTCACCTGCCATCGCCTACTGAATGGAATGGTCTTTTTTTAATAAACTTCTTATTTCAGAACAGATTTAAATTGAAAAGTCACAAATTTAGTAAATAAAATTTATGAAAGTAGTGAAGAGAGTTTCCATGTAACCCATACTCAGTTTCCTCTATCGTTAATGTCTTACATTTGTATGGCACATCTGTTATAATTAACAAACCAATATTGATAAATTACTCAGGTTCCCTTGGTTTTTACCTAATGTCCTTCTCCTGTGCCAGGATACCACATGACATTTAGTTGTCATATCTCTTTCAGTAGGTCTTGGCTCTCAGGAATTTTCTGGCTTTTGATGACTTTGTCAGTTTTGAGGAGGACTGGTCAAGTATTTTGTAGAATGTCTCCAAAACAGGATTCGTCTGATGGTTTTCTCAAGATTAGACTGGGATATGGATTTGCGGAGGAAGCCCACAGCGGTGAAGGGCCTCACATCACACAAAGGGTACACGTTGTCAGTGTGACTCATCACTATGGGTGTTGGCCTTGACCACCAGGAGGAGGTCCTGTTAGTTTCTCCACCGCAGAGTGCCTTTCCCTTCCCATTTTCCATGCTGTGCTCTGTGGATGGAAGCTGCTCTGTGTGCCCCAACCTGAGGAGTGAGGAGTTTACTCCATCTGCTGAGGCGATCGTAAACATCACACACACGTACACCTGGCCCCCAGACCCCAGGACTGTGGATTCCTCATGTCCCTGTCACTCCATGAGGTGCAATGACTAATTGTAGAAGGTGTTCAGTAAGCATTTGTGGATGGGACTGAACAGTTGCATCGCCTGGGGAATGTTTGCTGCCCAGATCGGCTGATACCCAAAGGTGAGCCGTGTCCCTGGACATTCTTGAATGCCCCACGTCAAAGCTGGCTATGGAACAGCCAGAGAACACTCACGAACATACTTGGCACCAGAGTTGACAATGTGACCTCAGACAATGTACACTTCCCAGCTAAATTCTGCAGTATCTGTTGCTTCCCCCAGCTCAGAAGAAAGTAGGTCCACACTTACAAACTAGGAAGGACTAAAAAGGGCTTAACTTCCGCTCTGGGTTTGAACTTGTGTCATGGGTAAGAAGAAACTCAAGTGTCCTGTGTACTCTCCAACATCAAAGGTTATCCTCACCTGCTCTCACAGGTGACCCCTGTCAGACGTCTCTAACACATCATTGAACCATCTTGGCTGAGTGTGGTTTAAAACCTGTACATGTGTCCCTATTCCAGGCCGCACAGTATTTAACAGAAATAAAAGTTACTTCATCTTCTGCCAGCCTAGGTTCTCCCTAGACTGGACACGGACAGCGTCCTGGGGAGAGCACCCCTGGCTCAACCACTGGGGCTGCTGTCTCCAGGTTGAGGGGCCGGTGTGGAGCTGCCAGCAGGGCAAGGAGCCCAGTGACGCCAGGAAAATGCACACACTGGAGGGAGCCAGGACACGCCTGCTTCAGCTTCTGACTTCTCTCATTTTGACACTGGGAAAGTTGTTTTTGAAATGCCTCCAAAGGTCTAGGGTATAAGTGCTCATTGATGATGCGAGGGTAAACGTGCCATAAAGCACCCTCCACCCCACAGTCTCTGCACCCCTGCCCCTTCCTCTTTATGTCCCTCTGCAGTAGACAGGAAATCACGTGTCCAGTCAGTAGAGAGGATGGGAGGATAGGGCACAGCCAGGCCTGGTGACCTCTGTCCCCACAAGTCCCATGACCCCAGGCAATTCCAGGAGACTTCCTGAACCTCAGTGTCCTCTGAGACCCAGGTGAAAGCAGCCGTAGGTGCAAACCTGTTTGTGAACCGCAGACCTCATGCCTGGAGCTGTCGGCCACAGGGACTTCCCACAGCCTAGTCTCACCTTCTCCAGCCTCCCCTCCCCTCGAGGTCATCTCCCCAAACAGCCTGCCACACCATGCTCTGCCCTTTGGGGCACCCAAATGTTTTGGGCCCCCAGGTCATGTGATTGGAAGCCCAGAATTCCATCTTTAACAGATCATTGCTGTCCAGGCTCTTGCAGGCCCCACTTCCAGTATTTTTTTGCAACATGCCCCAGTTCCCTGCTACCCAGACGCACCATCTCTGAGCTGGCTTCAGGATCCCGCATGCCCCTCGGCTGAGCACATGGCTCTGTGCTGCCCTTCGGAGCCACACTTCCTCTCTCTGTCCATTGCCAGCCCCATCCAGCCCATCCTGTCGACCATTCGGGACCACTGATGCAGTGAAGGAGCTGGTCCATCTCCTCTGCCACCTCCAACCTCCTGCACCTCCCCTCCCTGCACACCCACACCCCCGAGCTCAAGACCAGGTTCTCTAGCATGGGCACATCCTGCTGCCAACAGTTCTCATTGCCTGTTCCAGCCACATTCTCAGTCCTCTTCAACACGCAGCCACCCTTCTGGAGGAAGAGGCACTCTCCAGACAGCATCACCACACCTGGTCTGCACTGGCAGTCCCAACCTGGCTCTCCTATGGGTGGCTCCAATAGTCCTCTCCTCCCAACCTTTCCCTAGGCGGCAGGGACAGGGCAGGGCAGCCAAATTCCATGGGCTTCTTTCACCCTCTGATGGGTATGACCAGCTTGTCTACCAACTGGGCTAAGTTAAGATCCAAGGACATAGTATCGGTGGACAGTCTCTAAGGCTGAGAGAGCTATGCAAATGCCAGTGGCTATGGCATCATGATTATAATGGGTGTGATCACAGCACAGCAAAGGAATTCAGAGTCTGCGGGACCAGGGCCACCCATCCTGGGCCTGCCTTCTATGGGCTATGCAAGGTGGACACATACTCTACCCTTTGGGCCTCCATTTCCTCTTCAACGTGGGAACAATGATGAGTCTTTCACAACATGGTGGGAACACCACAGAGGATGATCTGATATGCGTGGCACACACCTGACACACACCTGACACACATCTGACACACACCTGACATGCCTGACACACGCCTGATACATGCTTGGCTCACACCAGCATTTAGCCTTTTGCCATTTGTATTGTCTCCAAAAGCCGTGTTTTTCCAACAGGAAAATCTTAAACTCTAAGCTGCTGGGGGCTCTCTTTCTGAGCAAATGTGTGTAGTTGCACCATGGGACAGGGATGAGAACAGCAGAATTCCAATAAAGGGGCTGGGGGTAGGAGTCAGTCTCAGCCACTCACAGGCAACCCCAATGGCAGAGTCTCAGACAGCACCTGGCCTCACTAGGGCTTCATCTGGGACTTTTGTGTTGAGCTCTGGAGCCTCTTCCCCAGACCTCTGGTTCTGCAGAAGCAGCTGCCTGCCTTTCTTGTCGTGGCTCCAGTCACAGCATCTGAGCTTCAGCCGGGGTCCTTTCTGCCCCGGCATGGATGGGCACCAGCAGAGCAGACACAGCCCTCGGATGGCTCGGACAGCAGAACTTTGCAACTCTGGCCAATGAGCTTCCAGGGAAGAAATGTGACTCAGACGGCCATCAAGCAGCTCCACGCTGCCTTCCTAAGACAATGTGATGGGAGTGCTAGGTACTTATTTCCTGGCGAGAACACGCATCTCTAATCAGTTTTAATCCAATAGGGTGTGCAAAGCCTACAA